GTCAACCCTGAGCCGGTGAGATTTGAACCGCTGAACTGCTGATCTAGCAGTAGCCTGCAGTGCTGCATTTAACCACTGTGCCACCTCGGCTCTTTTATTTGTTAGCCTCTTTCAAATTTCTGGGAACATCTATAAGCATGTGATGTAATTCATCCCTAGGCTGAAAAACAGGGGAAGGCTCCGAGGAGCGCTCTGTGTCGGAGGCAGAGAGAGTCAGGAGTTAGACATCAGTGAGGCAGAAGAACAGCTGCAGCCTGTTCCCAGTGCGCGCATGCACAGAGTTGCCAGACGAAGGGAACAGCTAAAGAACACGGGTCGACTTGGGAGGAAGGCCACAGGTGGACGGTGAATGGCCCCTCCCAGAGGGAATCAAAGAGGAGCGAAAGGGGAGTGGAGTTTGCAGGCGACGCTTAGTTCATTCCAAGGATTGCGGCATCTGAAAGATCTCGGCCTGGCCACTCTCCAAGCCTGATCAAGGTCGGTAGATTGTGAACTCTCTCGAAAGACGGTGGGAGGGGAAAGACTTCGCTGGGGTGGAATTTAATTCGTCAATTAAATAAAAGGGGTTTATCGGGACGAGGACTCCGCTTCGTGCTGCTGGGGAAGTCGAAGTCACGACAGAAGGAAGCACTTACCGGCATGGGGATCTTGGAAAGTTCTTTACCGATGCAATTCTTCATGATACTCCAGAGATTAAGGCTGTAGTTGGGCTTGTCCGGAATCGCCGTACGCCTCTTCTTGTTGACACCTCCAGACTTGCTCGAAGTACCAAAGGCAGTGAGAGGGGTAGCGTCCAACACCTGGAAGGAATCAAACCCCAGGTCATGATAACTCGGGGTGGGATTTTCAGCTCTCCCCACCCACCCTCGCCTGCTTGTAAGCATAGACTAGGCCATGTGGAGACTCTCGATAACTAGATATATCTGCAATTGTCCTTCATATGTTTTAGTCTCCAGGCCTTTGAGCCTCTTAATTGCTCTTCTCTGCACTTTTCCCAAAATCTCAAATCTCTTTTTTATAGTATGGGGACCAAAATTGGTTGCAGTATTCCAGGTACGTTTTACTACGGTTTTATAAATAGCAATAGCAATAGCAGTTCGACTTATATACCGCTTCATAGGGCTTTCAGCCCTCTCTAAG